TATATATATATATATATATAGTTTTTAGTTTTTTTTTATATAATATACATTTTAAAAACTGCTCAATTTATATACCAGCACCAGAAAAACTTTTTAAAATTTTGTTTACATTTAAATTTAATTGATTTAGATATACATGATATTAGCATGGGCAAAAAGTCTTTAATTAAATGCACCATTTTACATCCAAATGGTGTAACAGATTATGTATAAAATGTTGTTTTTAATTAGTTGAATTACTCTATGAAATATAGTTAAATAATATTAAATATAATTTATAGCAGTAAATAGTTATTTTTGAAAGGGTAGAGTGATGTGTACTCATTGTAGAATAAGGTATATGCCTTGTCCCTATGATATCTGTTGTGGTACAGTGAGCATTCAAGAGGACTGAAAGCATAACCTACATGGTCACTGATGCATGATGGGCAGTGGGCTGCATGGGGTAATAGCTTCTCTGGGCCATGTGCCGTACTGGCTTTGCAAACTCAATCTGCTCTGTCACACTTTCTAAAAAGTCTACCACTATTTTGCATTGGATCAGAATGATAACCACCAGTGAAAGCAGGAAAAAATGCCTTAAATGTTTCTCTTAATTAAATTAAGGGTTTATTTTAAAGTGTGAATTAAGACTGTGGTTAACAAGTCCAGAACTGTGGCATGCCGATTGCTTTTGAATTTTAAAGACACATACACTTCACCAAATGAGAAAGTACTGTGTCCAAACAGTTCTCACTAACAAGTAGCTGTTCTCTTCATTACATAACAAAGGGCATTAAAGGGCAAAAGGTGTAAGAGCCTTTGTGCATTTGAATTTAGATACAAGGAAAGCCAATCCCAAACCTGTTTACAGCTCATCACAGATCTGTGAGAAGTCTCTTTCTTACCCATTGCACGGGTTGTCCTGGTACTTGGGGGCTGTGTAGGAGAAGGGTGAGATGTTCTTGTCCACAAAGGAGCCAAAGCCAAGGCGGAAGTTACTTGTAAGCTTCCTCATTTCCTCAGCCAGTTTGGTGCCCAGGTTGCGGATTGTGTCCAGATCATCCTTCATGGAGAGCGAGAGGTCCATCAGGTAGTACAAATCAACAGGGTAGTCTTCCACAGGACGCACTTGTACCTCAAAAGAGGTCTGGTCACCTGAAGGATGTAAGAGTAATTACATTGACATGCAATTTCAAGGTATCTACAAAGTTTTTTTTTTTTGTTCTAAATCTAAATCTATCAACAGATGCATACCAGGCCTTAAGCTGAGAGAGATCTTCTGTGGGTATATCTGGATGACATCATACTGGGTCACTCCAGAACCTTTGGAGCTCAGAGGTTTGCTCCGCAACAGAGAGCTGCCACTCCTGGGACTTTCTATAAAAGGTGCATCGCACCCTCTTTTCTGTAAGTTCTGGCTAAAGTCACATCGTGAGTTGAGAGTTCTAACCTGTCCAAAGTCCTGAATCAGGAAAAAAGATCGCTGTGGTAAGTAATGTGAGGAAACCATTAAATAAATGAGCAAACCCACAAATGCGGTGAGATACAGCACTAATGCTCTTAGCAACCTGTCAACAGTCAGAAGCACTGACTTATTCAAGTGTATTCAAATGTATAAATAAATCAGTGGCCAGTCTATGATGGCTAAAAATACTGTCTAGGCAGGCAGCTCAGTCACAACTCAAACATCAATTTGTCAATCACAGTTTCTCGCAGGATTGTGCACGCGTACCTCTTGGGCGCACCAGGCGCAGCTCGGGTGAATGAGGAGACATTCTTCACAAGATGTGGCGCTGCCGCTCATGCAAACGTTGAGACCTTAAAATAAATCAAATAAAAATAAACCATCCATTGCAGGTCAAATAGGCATTATGAATAAATGCATTGAACACTCTTTTATTTAAAGACACTTACAACTGAGGAACACTACGACACAAGTGATTCATGCTAAGACAGAAACATGAGAAACGATACAAAGTCACAGAATTGCTTAGAAAAATAACTAGGGCAAACTGTCCTCCCCTTATTATCATGGTGGTGAAATAAAAACATAAACGACAGACTAAATACATTTATGCAATTAATTAATACAGAAATTAGGGGAGAAATAAATTAATTTTCAAATATACAATTTATGAATGTATTTATTTTCACAAAATTCACAACATTTATTTCATGCATTCGCATTTACTAATTTATTGTGTATTAAATCTAGCTGCATTGTTACTTATCTAAACGAAATAAGACATAGCATTTTGATGACAGATGTGATTTCACTAAACACTGTACTTATACTTACCTCCGACGCTGTGAATAAATATTTCCAAGACTATGTAAACTAGAAGAGCCGGGTGGCGTGTAAATGGGCAAGGATTCCACATTATTCCTTACTAAATGAAAAGCCCGTTTAACATCAACTGGGTTTTTTTTTTGTCCAATTGTATAAAACGTTTCTATTATAAATGTCCGTTTTTTATATTGTGAGCGGCTGAGATCGTCTTTGTTTCCATCCTCTCCACATCACAGCGGCGCACATATGACTGAAGTTGGTGTCCAGTGCAGATAACTGCACAGGTAAACACACGAGTTAAATCCGAGGCGATACTGCTACTCTGAACAATAATCCACATTCGAAGTGAGTGTTACTGTCGCACTCTGTCTGAGGTCCACTGCAGTAGTTACTTAAATATGCACTGTATCCATACCGAGTTTCAAATCTTCAGTGCAAGCACATTTTAAACTTTGTAAACACTGTTTTATTCATCATCCGGTTGTTTTCAGCGTGGAAGTTCAATAGTTGAGTGCCTACCGCGTCCCTCACATTACTTTAGACTCCGCCCATGGGAGAAGGAACTGGGATTTTTTTCCAAGTCACGCCCCCTACGCTGTGATTGGCTAGTAGGGCGACATCCAAACTTGCACTGATTAGACAGTAAACAGGTCATTTAAATATCTTTACCAATCAAAGAGAATAGCAATCAGCCGAAGGGCGGGGCTAGTCAGAATATGAAGGAAAAAATAACGCAGATTAGGACGAAGCAGTTTAAAAGGACCTTTAACCGTTTAATTAGTTGACCATAGTAACCTATGCAGCTGTTTTGTTATGGACAGAGCAATCACATTTTGCTCTAAAATGTAAATCAGTATCTTACATTAAACTGTCAAATTACACGAGAAAAAATATTTTGTTGCATGCTGTTTCTTCTTAAACTCGTTTTAATATGTCAGTAGTACATTAAACATCTAAATCCTTTAAGATCTGGCTTGGAAATTTCATCCAGCGCAGTCAGCAGTCATGTGACCATCACTAATTACATCCCCACCTGTTCCACAGAAAGAACTGCAGAGAACCTATTAGGTACACACTTCCAAAAAAAAAAGATGTTTTTTTTTCATTATAGGAAACACAGGAAAACTGTTTTATTCAGGAAACACAAGGAAACTTATATGCACTTATCATAACTGATAACAGCAGAGATGAAAACCTGAAAAACCTGAAATGAATTCAAAAATTACTCCAATTCCAGGAGAAGGAAATGCTCTGATTAAAGAATTACAACGAAATGGTTGTACATAACATAAAAGTTAGTTGCAAAAACTGAACTGACAACTGAAATCCAGTCGTACTGGTCAGGGAACTATTTACAAGGCCTTTACCGCTGCTTAAAACAGCACAAACTCAAACACATGACGGGGTAGAGGCCTGTGTGAGAAGCTCAGAGGTCATATCCACTATAGATCTCAAAGGAATCCCACTGAGGAATCCCTGATGCTTGGCCCGCAGTTCCAGCAGGGCATCTACGATCCTCTGGCGGCCTACATTTGGGTGGCACGCCGACAGCCGGGCCATGATTGTGTCAAAGCTTCCCATGGTGGCGTAGTGCCGCTGCGGCACACAGGTGCCAGAGGTTGTGGGCGAGTCGCAGACATTGGTTAACCTGTCCACACTACAGCGTGGCCCCTAAGTCAAAAACATAATGACATCTTAAGGGTTTGGAACAGAAAATAAAAAATGGTCTGATATTAGCAATAATTTAAACTAATTTATAAAAAATATATACAATTTAAATTATAATAATAATAGTAATATATTAGTTAATTAGTTACTATAATTATATTAGCCAATAGTATAATATATATATTAGTCATTATTAATTGCATTTCAGTACAAGTACCAATGACAGAAAACAAACTAATTTTGGACATAAGCTTTCTAAAAAGCCTGCCACTTCATACTTACTCCATGTGATGAACTGTAGGTTACACCCTTAGTTCCCAGTCCACCAGTCCCTGCAGTTTCAGCTTTATGGGTTTCTGAGGTGCTGAGGGACTGATCACTGATCAGTTTAGGATCAGCTGAGCCAGGCCCACAGAGGTGCACCACCTGGACAGTGTGGCCTTGAACGGAGCACCCATTTAGATCTTTAACTGCTGCCTTGGCATCGCTGGGGCTCTTGAGATAGACAGTAGCTGCCCTACAAAAGCACAGACAAGATTGTGAAGAATGAAGTTCATTAAAGGTCCCATATTGTCAAAACTGAAATTTCCTGGCTTTTTTCACGATTACTGAGGTCTAGGGGCTATTTAACTACCATATAAGTTTCAAAACAGTCAGTCCACAGTAAAATGCACACAGCCTGCTTAAAGTTCTAGCTATTTTTCACGAACCGTTGTGACTTCCGTAAAAAGTTAACGTCAGAACTACACAGTCACCGCCTTCAGTCACCACCCCGAGCACCGCCCAGCGTCCCACTCTCCTTTTGCCAAACCCCCAGACAACATCGCGTACATGCTTTTGCTGAGCAAGGACAACACGGAAACATGTCGAAAAGGTTAACTTTAACCACGAAACCAGATCGCCCGACCTGTAAGGTTACACTCTCACTCAAAGGATGGACGATCTGACAGGATTGTTACTATGAGGTGGATCACATCTAACGTGTATAGTAATGACAAACTCGCCGTGTCTATCTAGTCATGACTCATGATGAAGATGTATATACATTTCAATTTCAGCAGGCAACTATTTTTACAGCTACATTATTGTTCCAGCCACAATTAATCACAACAATGTATATACAATTACAAATGATTATATATAAATCGTCAGTTTGTTGTTTTACACACATGCACACAGACATTATTTCATACACGACATAGTCGTGAGATGCAAGAAACATAGACATATGGAAAGAAATCTGTAGACGTGCCCATAACAACAAAAGACAATACTTTATT